AATGGAGCGATTCGTCGATGAATTCATGGCGAACTTTGAAGAACGATCAATAGAAGAAAACTGGTCTATTTTTAGAAATAAACTTTTATATTTAGCTGACCGTTACGTTCCACAAAGAAATGTCCGCACTAATCCCCGTTCGCCATGGTTCAATGCTACACTTAGACGCTTACGCAACAAAAAGAAGCGATTGTTTCGCTCTGCCAAGAGAGTAGACAGACTCAGCCGTTGGTCCGAGTACCAAAACGCTAACGCCGAATACCTCCATGAAGTTGCTAATGCAAAAAATGCTTACTTTAACGTTACTCTTCCCTCTTATCTACAAAACAATCCACGAAAATTTTGGTCTCTTGTGAACGGTAACAAAAACAAGATAGTGCAATTAACACACTGTGGCGAACCTGTTCCAAATAATGAATGTCGCAAGCTTTTAAACGATGCATTTTGTTCAGTTTTTCTGCGCACTTTTTCGTCTTCTGTTCCAACAGCCCCTAGCCATAATTTTTTTCCTATGGACTATATTGTAATAGATTGGGTAGGAGTTAGAAAACTGATCAACAACTTGAATATGTCTTCTTCTGCGGGTCCTGATGCCATAAATTCCAAAATATTGAAATGTACAGAGTTGTACTCATCACTAATTCTTTCGAAGATTTTTCATCAGTCTTTGCAGTGTTCATCCCTACCTGGCGACTGGAAAAAGGGCAAGGTGGTTCCGGTTCACAAATCAGGTAACACTAGTTCACCGGAGAACTACCGTCCCATTTCACTGACAAGCATTCCATGTAAAATGTTAGAGCACATAATATATTCACATTTAGTTAGTTTTCTCGAAGAAAATTCCTTTTTCAACAACTGTCAACACGGCTTCAGGAAGATGGTGTCATGCGACACCCAGCTTTTGTCCTTTACTAACGACCTGTTTGTTAACGCTGATCAAGGTTTCGATACTGACTGCATTTTTCTTGATTTTGCGAAAGCATTCGACACTGTATCTCACGACTTACTAATTCTGAAGCTTACTAAACTCAAAAACTCAACATTGACCCTAATGTTCTCTCTTGGATTAAAGACTTTCTTTCTAACCGAACCCAGAACGTAACCGCTAATGACTGTTTATCCCCCTCTTGTGCTGTAACGTCTGGCGTACCTCAAAGGTCAGTACTGGGGCCGTTGCTCTTTCTTATTTACATTAAGGATCTTCCCGCCTGCATCACTTTTTCAACCATTAAACTCTTTGCTGATGATTGTGTATTGTATCTGAAAATTTCTACCCCAGCTGACACCTTGAAACTTCAAACCGATCTTAACAACCTATCCGAGTGGTGCAATAAATGGCTCATGCGTCTTAACGTGTCCAAATGCAAATACATGCGAATTTCGCGTCGTGATAATACTGCTAACACGTGCACGTATAGTCTTCATGCCGCTTCTTTATCACACGTCGATTCATATAAATACCTCGGTCTTCATATCACAAATAATCTGTCTTGGCGGATGCATGTTGACTATGTAACTAACAACTCTAACCGCATGCTCGGATATTTACGTCGCAATTTTTCATCTGAACCTTCATCCCTAAAACTAACTCTTTACAAAACGCTAGTACGTCCGAAATTAGAATATGCATGCGCCATCTGGGATCCTTTCAAACATACTCTAATCCTCGCCCTCGAATCGATTCAAAACCGCGCAGCTCGTTTTGTATTTTCTAACTACTCCCGCCATTCTAGCGTAACTGCAATGAAGATGTCGCTAAACTTGCCTGATCTGTCGTTGCGTCGTAAATGTTCTCGGCTTTCACTTTTTCACAAAATATTTCATCACAACCCCATTTTAAAAGAACAGCTTTTCACAAACCCCTCCTACATTTCATCCCGTTTGGATCATGGCTTAAAAGTTGGTGTGCCATCTAGTCGAACTAATCTTTATTATGACTCTTTCATTCCACGAACAAGCAGGGACTGGAACCACCTTCCCGCCGCCATCGCCTCCATCACAGATGTAAATAACTTCAAGGTCATCACCCACCAAGAAGTGCTTTGAATGTATTGTTGCGCGTTTTAGTTGTGAAACCCCACTCCTTTCTGTAATGCCCTCGGGCCCTGAAAGTAAATAAATGAAATGAAATGAAATTTTAGTGCTCCATAACGTTCCGCGTACGAACGACACGCTTTTCTCGCACCGGTTCATGACAGCCATAAGCAGTCACAGTGGTTATCGTTCTTGAGGCCGATAACAAAACGTGTTCATCGTAAAGCCACCACCATCGTGCGCGGCCCTGTCGAGACAGCACAATGGGGCAAACGCTATGATCGTTCGTACACGGAACGTGAGGGAGCTCTAGAATCATCGTGTGCAGTGCAGCGCGAGCGGGTTTGTCACGTGGTATTTTTTTTTATTTCGCGGGCATTCCTTTTGAGCGGAATAACACTAATACTTAACAGATATAAAGCTCAGAACTATCTATTTGAACGTCTTGCAAACCGATCTACAACTTTCTCATTGAAATTTTTTATCGATCTTCGTTCCTTCAAAAGTTGGTGAATTAAACAGATCTGATTCAACAATATATGAGAACACAAAAATTAGTTTGACTAACTCCAGGCAATGGTGAGCAACATGCACTTGGTGGCGTCGCAATTACGTGCTCCGGCATATTTCCATACTCTGGGTAAAGTTACGTGAGACACCCTGTGTAAATATATATATATATATATATATATATATATATATATATATATATATATATATATATATATATATATATATATATATATATATATATATATATATATATGTATATAGGCCTAAACGTCGAAATAAACAACGTTGTGACCACTCACGGAGGATCTACTTGACTACTTGCAACGCTACGGCGCCTGTCCATATATATATATATATATATATATATATATATATATATATATATATATATATATATATATATATATATATATATATATATATACATATATATATATCATTGTATTCAAGATAATCATACATAAACGTTGCACTTTCTTAGAAATAAGCTCTAACGATAAGAAATCATCAAACAATAGAAGGACTTGACGTGGTAGTAGCATTATTCAAGAAGTTAATCGCAGGAGAACTGGAAATGGGAAGCAACCAAGCAGGTTAATGCATCTACGTTGAGTGGGGGGCGCACATTTGGCACCCACACGCTTCTAAGTACTTTGGAATTCACGCACACGGAGTCGCATACGCGCCAGCGATGCTACATTAGCCAAATAAGATATTGGCGACTTGTGAGAAAGCACCGCTTCCGCGAGGAACACCCAACACTGATTCGAACTGAGAAGCAGCGAACCATTTAACGAGTCGTCTTCACGCTTACTGCGTACGATTTTGCTTTAAAAAAGCGCAAACAAAACAATACCTGTTTGTTAGATTGTTTGACTGCTTTGTTTGTTTGTTCCTCACTTTTTTATTTACTTCTTTCTAAACTCATCAAAGGCAGAAAGTGCCCTTCAGAAAGGAAGCCGAAGACACGAAACAAATGACCGTTGTTAGTTTAGATGGTCGTCGTACGTTTGGCTCATTTGCTGCGGCCATTTACGTAACTCGCTCGATTTCGAACACCGGCGAGAACGTCGAATTTACGCAAACGAGCTTTCTCAGTAATTCCACAAGTCGTTCCCGGCTAGCGTTTCCAAAGTGTACATACTCAGGAGAAACTCTTACATATATACATCGCAAAACGAATAGAAAGTCTGTTAGCTATATGAATGTACGATCTTTCCTTCCACCCCTTTCCTGCGTAAGGCTGTCTTTATCGAAGTTGCCTCTCGTCAGCGTTTTTTCATCCTTGCTTATATCCCTCCTCCTATCCATTCTTATCCTCCTCCCAATCACCAGAATCACCGTATTAATCATAATCATTACCAACCCGTTTTATGTCCGCGGAAGAACGAGGGCCTCTTCCAACACCTCCAATTTATGTCGTGTTCTCTTTTTTTTTTTTTTCGTCAACGATCATGCATTGCCATAATTTTTCTGCATTTTTTGTGACAGTTTACGCTCATCTAAGCGTAAACGACGCACATAAAATAAAGAAAGAAATGGGGGGGGGGGGGTGTTACAACGCCTACTTAAACGATTAAGCCCCTCGGGGACGCGAGACCATGTATACGATAACCGGACGTGGTGGCTGCATTCCGGAGGTGACGGAATAGTAATAATAAAGTAATTTAACAACAGATAGCGTATAAAGCTTTCATAATTGGGATGGCGGGAAGTTAAATATGGCGCAAGTTCAACTAAGCCCCAGCGGCACGTACTATGCCCATAGTTAAACCAAAGAATTATAAATTGTGCTCTGGCTTTGCTAGGTTGTCTCACTGCAACTTTTCAACGTTCGTTTGTCTGAACGTGTTCTTACGAATGCTCTCCCAATTTGAAAGATAGATTCAAGTTTTTATACCGGATGTATGTCTGGACGTGCACGGCCCTCGTAGACATGGTGCATTTCAACAGTGACAATTGGTAGTCCGCTCAATCACTGTTCTCATAAGATTGCTGTTGTACTTTTGTGTTTCACATAAAGTGATAGTGGTATTAATATTGGGTGTAGACATCAAAACGCTTTTTACTGCGATATAGCTGATGTAACATCTATAGGTTGCCTCTAGTCGTCCACATTTCAATCAATCAATCAATCAATCAATCAATCAATCAATCAATCAATCAATCAATCAATCAATCAATCGATCGATCAGTGTCAGTCAATCCTTAGACCCACGTACTACGTTATTCAGGATGTCTCCTGGTTGCCGAATGCTGCGCAATGACACTTGCATCGAACCAGCAGTCGAGTTTTCTCCACTGCGCGTGCATTCTATGCAAGTTTGAAAACCGGCTTAAGTGTTGTACTGAACACCACCTGTCAAGGGTTCACGTAATGCTACTACGTCGTCGAGAAAAAAAATAAATAAAATAACAAAATAATACGAGAACAAAAAACGATGATCACTCACTGTGCGATTCCACCGACCATTGTACCCAGGACAATCAGCATACTGCAAACAAGAAAAGAGAGTAGGGAGAAGCAAATTTGATATACGCAACGTCACAAACGGGGGTTACACGGTATTTTTGCCCTCTTATTTAAGAAAAGTGCTCAGGAAGCATTGGCTCATAATTTATTCAACGCTGCCGTTTGATTCCCTCACAGTCCCACGTCAGCTACAAAAGGCAGTTTCTCTTCTAAGTCAATTAGATGAGTTTTCTTTCGTTAAGCTATAGAAGCAGGAAGGCAACAGTCTTCGTATTCCGTTCTTGCGATCCGATTCTGCAAAAAATCAGCTCGTGATATACCACTTTCACGCTGCAATGACGTGGCGGGTATGCTTTAGTCTAGAAGAATAACGGCTCGATGGGCTAGGTGGTTAGCGATATGCTGAAGTATTTCGGCACCGTGGCAACGAATACAATACAGGACAACGCTGCACTCATAACTTAGGTACAGCGCATGTCCTGTCTTACTCTTGTCCTTTGTATTCGTTAGCGCGCTGCCGCAATATTTGAGTATGCTTAGCCCATATACTTGGACAGCGTCGTGTTTCAATGAATTCTCCACGAACAATAACATTTGTTGGTTAATATTTGAAAAGCCAGTTGGTATATGCAAATGGTACACAAGGTGAGACTGAAAAAAACATGAACAATCACGAACTTGTATCTTCTAATGTTTCCAAGAATCGGAAATTAGACTCTGTCAGTGTTCTTATTTATTTCTTCCTATGGTGTCCTTATAAACACTAATTAACCTTGAGGGACAGCGTGGAAGGAACGAGCAACTGAAACCAGCCACTTAAAGTTCGAAACTTGTGTTCAGAGAGTGAAGTTCCGCGAGTGTTTCTTTCTACGTGCTCCTATTCTTCGCTGCTTGCAGTCTGAACCAAGCTCTAAAAAGCGCCAATCGACTTTAGGGGCTCACGTTTCTCCGTCCCATCGTCTGCACTTAGTGTGCCTGCCACGGGTAGGACGACAGGGTCGGAGACAGGGGGCCGACTGTTGAGCGGTTTTTAAAACATCCGAACTTCTCACTCGGTACAGAAGCCTCTTCAAGATGAATTATTTAGGTATCACCTAACTATCCACAAGGCTGACACGCCGAGGTTTACCCCCCGAGTGGACATGCGAGGAAGTCAACCCATTACGCAATTCCGCAAGTGAGCGCAAACACTTCTTTTTTTTTGTCATTGAAGCAATTAGACTAACAACTACTGTGGTCCCAAATTCCTGACTTGAAGAGTCCTTCTGCGTTTTCTAGACGACACTTTGCAGGCATTCACGAAACTTACGAAAGTTCTTTTCCTTCGACACCGTTCTTTGAACGCAATAATAAAGAAAAATAGTACTAAGCACAAGGCAAGAGCGTTTCATTTTGAAAATAAATCGCATTAGTCACATGAGAAGTTTAGAAGGATCCCCAAAGATGTGCTTAATGAATGGACATTCACTAACCTTACTTATAACGAAGCGCGCCACGTCACTCATTAACTTGACGAGTTCTTTTCGCGAAATTGTTTAGCGCAGCTAAAGCGCAGAGTCATGCAATGAAATGCAAAACCAACAACGGAGATATTAACAGCTGACAGTTTGATAGAGTTATCTTTAAACTACAGTGCACGGGTGCACGCTCGTTACCTTTTTTTCTATTGACGTTCTTTCGGGTCGAATGAGTACTTAAGAACCCGCCTCGAGCCTTTAGCTCATCCGAAGAACTACGAACCACGTAGACTAGATTCTTTTCAAAGGAAAATGCGCGATTAGGAAACGAGGGAGCAGATCAGTTAGTCAAGGTATGTGCCTCTTTAATCAAGGGCGCATTAGGTGCCTCAATGCGCGTCCGCAAGTTTCATTTCCCTCGTCACTTGAAAGATTAGCGTCCAGGAGAAGGAATAAACGTTCAGTTTGAAACATTATATCACACAGGCTCCAATTCAAGTTTAGGTGGGAGGTTACCTCATTCCGGAAACCCTCGTGGCTTAACTGCCTCCTTGGCCCTCACCTCACTTTCAAAGTACATATTTTCAAAGTGCGACAAGGCTAAAGCTCAAAGTTGGTGCGAGTGTCTAAATTTAGTGAATGGCTAGAACTAAATTAAACTTAATAGCTATCTTCGGCTTTGAAAATATGATGAGCTTCTACAATCCCACATGCGGTAGGTACATGAAACGCACTACACGTGAGATTGTAGAGGCTCATCTTATTTTCAAAGTCGAAGATAGCTGTCTTTTCAAGCCGTCTGTGGCGTTACACAAAGCAGAAATTGGGTACCTCTTTGCGCACATTAGGTCTTTTCTGCTGGTTAATCTCGCACACGTGGCTTTATTGCTTCCTATACTTTGTCCTTTTTTAATAAATTTTCAATAGTTAGTACGCGCTTGCGTTGTTAGTTTCTTCCTTAGTCTACGTTTCTCACGTAGCTTTGCTCATAATACATTACCAGCTCACGCAACAGTCTGTTCTTTTAAGCATTTACTCGACGTCAGTTCACACTTCCTCAGTGCTCAGCGCTCAGTGGAAGTCGATAGCGGTAATAAAATGTCCCCAAACTGAATGGAAGAGACTAACATAGTCCCCCTTTAGTGATCTGCGACTGAAAGTAATGTTTGCATGCGCGCGATGATTGGATGGTCGGGTGACGACTCTAAATCATTCGTGCGCAAGCGTACACACCCAAAAGCTTAGGGTAGTCGTCGAAGGAAGCTTCTCCATTGTCACTCTGCATACGCGGCAAAGCCAACTTACGTAATTAGGTTTTTTTTCGCAGGTTTTCACAAGTTTTCGAATAATAATAATACCAATATTATTAATAATAATAATAATAATAATAATAATAATAATAATAATCGTCGTTGTTGTTGTTGTTTCCATAGTGAAACGAAGCTACACGGGAAGTTCAAGGTTGTCTTCTTGGCTTTGTTGTTTTTAACACAAAGCCGGAAGCACAAGGTCACCTGCAAGGCACTTTTTTATCCTCTCCATGTATAAATGCACGCAGAATGTATTAACCAGAAAGAATATTTGCGCATTAGAACGACAGAAACTTGAAGTCTGTGTCAAGTGCACAAAAAAAAAGAACACAATAACACGGCAGTTATGTCCTGTTGTCATTTTTTTTGTCCTTGTCTGCAAGTACATATTCTGTTATCATGCATCTCGGCAAAAGTGCGTGAACAAGAACAAAATTTTGAAAATATTTCCCAGTACCGTGATCCTCTGCAATGAATTAGCATCTAATTACCCCGCTTTGAATGACCGTGATGAGATACAATGACTTGTAACATCCCCGAGCGAGGATCGAAGATACCAACATCGGTTTCGCGATCGAATATACAAAGAATGCATTTTATGGGTTGCAGCCTAATGAGGTAATTAGCATAATTATGCAAGAGGCTAACTAGGTTATTGATCAACATATTATCGAATCAGTCGTTCCGCTTGCAACACACTGCATTCGCGACGCGAAGCCGGTTTGTCCGGCACTCTCTCTCCCACCTCAGAGCGGCTCACCACCCTCTCCAACTGCCGGTCTGCGCATGCGCAGACCTGCTTCCCGTTTTTACTTCGAACCGCAGTGGATGAAGCAGCTTAAATTGACGCGTAATTTTAACAGGCTAAGTGGGTGGTACACATTTGTAATCGGAGGTAGAAAATTTTTTTTCCAGCAATGACAGAAATCAAAGACAGGCCACAAGTCCTTTTCACTTTTTTTTGTTCTTTGTTTTGTGTCGCTATAAAAAGTTTGCGCTAACTACCACAATGCAGTGGCGTAGGCCGGGCGCAACGGTGGAAGGGCACGCAGTGAAAATCCTTCAGTGCTGTTATGCCAGCGAGTCCTCGTCAAACGACCGTGCCTCTGAAAAAGGCAATCTGGGTCAAGGCCAGCCCGCAGTCGGCCTGGCGCGATCACCTCGACGGCGTGAACACGCGCGGCGCTCCTCTGGCCCACGTGCAGTGAGTCAGTTGCGCACGTGACAGCGAGCCGGCGTCCTCGTGTCAGGTGGTCTGACGCATGGCGCGGCGGCCCCCATTGGCGGAATCTGCCCGGACGACCCGCGGCGCTTCTGATTGGACACTTTGGTTGGACCCGGTGCAAATAAAAGAAGCCCTGCGGCGTGTCGCGATCGGCGGTCCTATGTGAGAGGCGTCCCCGTGTCGGAGTGCCGACATGTGTGTGAGTCAGCGGTCTTAGGTGAAAGACTGACCTATGTGTTAGAGAGAAGAGCTCGGCTCTTCGAGTCTCTGTCGGCCCCAGTGCCGAAATTGTAACGCCTCTGTAAATATGCTGTACATAAACCTTGTTTAACTCACCGTCGTCTCGTCCGCTCGTCTTATCGGCTCTGCGCAGAAGCAGTCGCGAGCTGATAAACATACGCTACCAAACGGCTGGTGACCCTCCCGGCGGAGTTGAAAGCAGTGGCGCCTCCGGGGCCGTGTTGGCGTCGCCGTCTTTCGCAACAGTGGTGGCTTCGGCGGGATCGGTCCGGCCTTCGCAACAGTGGAGGTCAGCGGCGGGATAGGCCCGGCGCTTCGCAACAGTGGTTGGCAGCTGCGGGATCGGCCGGCGTCAGCGACATCGATGCGGTGAGTGCCTGATGTTTTCCCCTCAGTTCACCAGACTACTCTAGCTCAGGTTGTAGTAGTTTAGAGAAGGGCTGTGTGAAGCATTCGAGTGAGCTTTGATCGTTTCAAGCAAAGTCGGAAGTGCTTTGAAACCAAAGTTAATGCGGAGGGGGTAAACACGGGAGTGTTTAAAATTGCTTGCGCGTCTTGCTAGTAGGCTTATAGTGGGTACGGCAAGTAAATTGTTAACAGGGGCAAACAGCAAGAGGCTAGTGTGAACGATGGAGAACCTTAAAGTGAAGGAACTCATCGAAATTTGTGAGGAACTCGGCATTACTTTGGGCCGTGCGAAACGAAAGCAAGCGATCCTTGATATCATGAAGGATGAGGGAGTGTCGGCTGAGGAAGTCGATGAGGCCTGGGTGGATATTAAAGCACGCCG